TAATGACCGTAAAATTTTTATTCTCATTGCTTGTTTATAACTTGTTGTCAACTTTTAGGTCTGACAACTATTAAAACAAAAAAATATTGCATATTAATTATATCGCATCAAAGCAAAAAAAAAAACAAAAAAACAAATTATTTGCAAAAGTTCTTTTTATGGCTCACTCCCCTGCACTTATCGTCGCGCACATGTACATGTGTACATATGTCTAATATTAATCACATTTAAAATTACAAAACCAAATTGCAATTGTTTAAATTAAATACAAATTTGCACAAAATCAACTTTTAGTTCGAAATATAATACACACAATGCATAGTTTGTCGAATTACTAAATCAATTAGAATGAAATAATAATAGTAATAATATTGAAATATATTAACAACTGTACAATAAATTGTTAGCTGGAACTGCTTTTGCTAAAGTAATACAATCGTCAATAGGAACGACAAGTGAACAAAACGAAGCACTATCTAATTGTTTGGCCATCATAAACAAAGAATGTATTTTGCAAATCCGACTATAAAATTGCCTCTAAGGATTGCTAAAATTTACTTAGTACGAAAATCGCTTTATATATGTATATATATATATATTATTTTGAATTTATATCCAGGCAAATGCAGAACTGGATTGCTATATGTGCATGAAATTTTTTTATAATGTGAAAATGTTGAACAAAGTTTTATTTGCAAACTAAATTTATAAATTGTAAGTTAAAAGGTTTTATGTTTAAAAATTGATTTATTTATTATTTAACGTTTTTTTAAATGGAACAAACTGCTGCAGCGTTGGTGATTATTTTCAAAATAGCTTAAACTTGAGTACAGTAATTATTGAATAAGAAAAACTGTCAATTCCAAAAACAAACTCAACAAACAAAATTATCAAGATATATTTGGTTCTTCCCTGAGCATTGAACACAGTTCATAGAAGAGCAGTAGCAGTAGTAGTTTAATGTTTAAATAGCTGTGTTGTGGTAGTAGTGGCGCTAGTAGGCAGAATGGTGTTGCAAATATCGTTACATATTACATGTATATGTATGTATATTTAGTCGTTACGTATTTACTGATAAAAATCGTTCATAAATCACGTCGTAATATATTACGTAAGACACCTACGAGAGGCAACGTTACGATCGCCAAGGAGCCGCAGCAGCATCAGCACCCTATTTATATGTATTTTGTTTTCTTTATTTGCGTTTACGAATATCTCTCGTTTCAGAGCAACTTTTGTGTCTATCAAATGCCTCACACTCAACGATTTAGCAGCTCAACGCTTACAGATTGCAAACACGCAAGCGCACTTGTTCGAAGTAAGGCTTTATTTATTATTATAATTTCGTTCCATTTTGTTTACCTTGCACAAATTTTGTGCACAAACAGTCAAATGGATTTGCACAATTGGGCAAGTTATAGATCACCACAATCAAACGCAAAGATGAACACCGCCTTATTATCATTTCATCATGAATATGCCTATATAAGATGAAAGTATATAACCATAAAAAAATAAATACGCAATTAATATAGGTAAATCACTTCAAAACTTTTGGACAATTTTGCTATCGAGAAACGAACAACAGAATAAACCCTATTTAAACCTAAATTATAATTATATTGACAATTAGTAAGTATTCTCAATACTTTAATACAGCACAAAGTAGTTTAAATTAGTTGGTAATTTTAATTATAAATTTACTTTGTCTTGCAGGTGTTGCTCTTTATCTGTATGTCAAAAAAACAAAACTAAGATGTTAAAGCAGTAAATGTGCCATAATTACGAAATAAGTTCTATATTTTATATATATATATATATATATAATACCTGTCTCTTATACACATCTAGATGTGTATAAGAGATTAGTTAAATTTAGGTTTTTGTTGTTGCTTCGCATTATAACAAGTTTCGTTTTCTTTGTTTGTTCTAATAATTCATATATTCACCATTCCTTCATATTTCAACTACAAACTACGAACATGCCAACTTGTCTTTCTCCGCTTTYTATAACTAACTACGATTCGTTATGGTACGGCAAAACCGTTTTGGTATTTGTTTCGAAATTCGAAAATACTAACATATACGTACATTGTTTTCGAAAACAATAAACAATTACTGGCGCTATACGTAGCAGTTAAATATCTTGCCATATACATACATACGATTTGTAGCATAACGTAAGACTACTTAGTTTCACTGGGTTTAAAATTTAGTATTTCTCTCCACCATCTTTTATTACGTTCGCGTACTTGCTCATACAACTCCCAATAATTTTCAATTATCAATACTTTTCTATATCTAAACTGTACGTTTTCATGTTAATGTACACAATTAAAATAAGAGTTTGTGTCGATTTGTATGTTTTGTTATGTATGTATTTGTGTATGTGCGCGTATTTTAAATCATTCTCTTAATAAACGGCGGCCCTGAATTCAGTCCATGTTTCTTTTGTTTTTACGTTGAATTATTTAATGACTAAAGCAGCCTTTACTATGGTTAGAAAACGTCCTTGCCTGGACCTGATGCATCGACTATTTCTGACTCTCGACTATTAACGCCTCTTTGCCGCTGCTAGTGCACTTTTTAGTGTGCTACGATCTATGCATCGATCGGTGTAACGGTTCGACATTTTGCACTACCGTCCTCATTTCTTTGTGTGTTTAAAAAGCGAACAATTTCTTCTTGCCGCAAATAAATTATTGTTTTATGTCGCTTTTTTTGTTTTTGTTCTTCTCATAATTTCTCGGTTTTCGAACTCGTAGATATTTTTGTAGTTGTAGTTGTAGTAGTAGTAAAGGAAGCTATTGTTATAAAGTTGTGTCTTTGTTGTCGTGTCTCTTACAATTTGTGAATTTGTTTGGTTGTCACCAAGAAACATTAAATATTCATCATTGCAAATATTTATACGCATAAAATGTAGTAGCATCAATGTTGCTGTTGTTCTTGTTGTTTATTGTAGTCGTGTGATCATAGTTGTGGGTATGGATGCTGTCGTTAGTACCCTCAAAATTAACATGGATATATACCTAAAAAGTAGATAGCAAGTTGGAAGTTGGTCACTCTTATATACATATACATATAAACATATACATATATTTACAGACASATGTAATAGTAAATAAGATTAAGCTACCATTGTACAAAATATGTTATACATAAGCGCACGTATGTATGTATATTATTATATAGGCATATATATATCAAAGCGACATAGTATACAAATGTTGTAATTCATATGCACAACAACAATAAAAACCAAATAATAAATAATTTGTATGCGAAAATAATTGCTAACAACAAAATCTGACTGTTAAGCGACTGCAAACAACATTTTCTTAAAAGCAACCAAATATACTTTTGTATTTAAACCAACTTATACTCGTATAAATTACAAATGTAGAGGTGTGGCAAGTGGTGTTGATTCGTATAGTTGTGCACATACATTTATTGTATCTAAGGAAGTATATAAAGCAAACTTTTCCTTCTAATTACCTTGATAATTCTGTGGCCAAATGGTGGGTACATTCTGTTGATTCGAATTCGGAGKATCATTTATTTATATGCACAGCATCATGAGGATCAATTAGGAGAAAATGAGTAAAGAATATTAGTTCGTTAAATTCAAATAATGTACAATTAATGTTTAACTTACCGCCGCACTGACCATTGGCACACTATAGTACTGATAAAATGGTTGATATTGCATTGAAGGTGGGTAAATTGTTGGCACGCCGGCTGCTGTAAAATCAGTAACTGTTTGTTAAGAGGTTATGCTAATTATAACTGATCTGATCTTTATAGTTTATAATGGTTAAATATCATAAATTGCGAGTTACCTGGCGGATAAACCGTGGCGGCGAATTGATCAATGGGCATATTGCTAATTGGGGCCGGTGGTGTTGTTGTATAATAGACAGCACCATTCGTTGCAACGATCGACTAAAATATTAAAACAAAAAATATATGTTTAACTATTCTAATGAAAAAAGAATAATAAAAATTTCAATTAATGAAGTTTCAAACTAATTTGCGAAAATAAAAAGTATTTTGATACATTTTATTACATTGGAAAACGTTGCTTGAATATATTTAGAAAATAATAATTAAATTTCATAATTTAGTTAAAGTTTATAGGAAATCGTTGCCTTGATTTTAAAC